ACTTTGTAGCTATAATCTCATTTCATTATTATTGTTTATTTATTTATTATTACTTATTTTTTTATAAACCCGGAATGACACGTATAATATGTATTGACATAGGAAAGAATGGGGTTGTCCCTAGTTGACCTCAGGCTCGATTAAGGACCCGGCTAACAGTTCAGACCTACGGGTACGGGTCGTTACAGTTAACACAAAATATCATAAGTGAAGCATTCTATCAATATAAACCATATCAAGTGACCAATTTGATAATATATCCATGTATTCAAAATAGAGCTAGTACTACTATCAAAATGAGCAAACAATATAATTAAACTTAACCATTAACCTCGTATAAGCTAAATACATGAAGTCACATACACGTAAATTATGATTTCTCCAAGCATCATCATCCATATATGTATATCACGTAAGTGTCTAAATCAAATAGTTAATCAATGGCATGCTTAATATCATTATTTAATAGCTAGGTTATCAATAATCATGCATAAAAAACACTCTCAACTCACACTATACATGTATAACACACACAACACCTCAAAACACAAGGAAATGACTAGGCTAAAGCCATACTACACCCCCTACCTCACTAAGGAAGCACACCTTAGAAATCCAAAGTGAAGAATGTTCCAAATCCGAAAATGATGGAGTAGTTTTGTAGCCCAAAATTTCCCCACGCTTTCTACCTTTTATGGCTAGTTAAGAAGACCAATGGAAGGTGAAGGAAATGGAGATTTATATTAGAGCAACAATGGTGACAATGGTGACAATAGTGAGGAAGATGAAGCGTAGGAGAAAAGTGGGAGAGATATTTATGATATAATATCTCAACACCTACCGTAGCACTACCTCTCTCACACACACACACTCATATCCACCCTCTATTTGTTACTCATCCAAACTTCCACATGTCACACAACTCTCCTCAAATTACACAAAAGTCCCAAATTAAAATATCTCAAAAGATAATGCCATAAATGTACCAAATGAAAAGATAACTATATAAAAGTGTAAAATAAACTGGTGTCGTCAATCACCAACGCTTGAAAAGATGTTGCACCAAGAGTGTGAGTGTGCAATGTGGCCAAGTTTTAAATTTATAAAAGCCAATACTACCTCTAACTAAAAATATAGCTAGAGTGAGTAGGGATCGTTCCAAGGGATTATAGGCATGCACTGGCAATGGAAACAATGTATAGGGTTAGTAGGTCGAGTGATCAAAGATTGGTTGGATTGATTGATTAACCTATTATGCAAATGAATTTAAAGTAAACAAAATTCAATGATTAATAAAGTAAAGAAAGATATAGAGGGGAGGACTTGGGGTACTATAGCTCACCACTAAGCTTGACTTCACTAGACACTAGCAATTATATATTAATAGGGAAATTGACTTGTAACTTGTGTGTGTGTGTGTGACATTAATTGAAACTAGGCATGGATGGAAAATAAGCATAGATTGTCAAGGCAAATCAAATGGAAAGTATAACTTATCAAATGAGACCAAAATCCATTCAATGAAACCACAATTTATGCACACACAACTATTTAGAAACATACATCTAATGCATTCATAAGTATGGAACACCAAGGAACAAGAGTAGATTGTCCACCTATTTATGAATTTAAAGCAACTACACTACGTCTACACTAAAGACATGAAATTAAACTAAGTAAGCTAAGGGTGTGGTACAATCCATCAAGAAACAAGTGTGAACCATCAAATAAATTACAAGAGTGTTCAACTAAGCTCTATGTTTTGACCATCTCTAGATTAACTTCATCCATACACATAGACATGCATAAACTCTACTAAATCTATAGAAAAGCACATGAATCATCTATTCTAGAATACATAGACATATGATTAGAAATAGATAATCAATTGAAAGCATTAATCCATACACATCAAGTAGAAACAACAGGATATATATATAAATCCAAAATCAAAACATTATTATAAATAAATCCCCAAAAATATACAAAGAACTAAGTCTAGGAAGCAAAGATATCTAGCCACTCATTGAAGTAGTCATCCAACCCTCAAGGGCTATCTCCATGGTAGGAATATCCCCATTCTTGATGGAAACCCTAGAAGAATGGAAGAACTCCCAAAATGTGTAAAGCTCGCTAATCTCTAGCCTTCTCTCCAAGATAAGAAATTACAAGTTATGTTGAATGTTACAAGTTATGAATAACAACTATGCTCTAAAAATGGCTCTCAATCCTTATATAGGTAGGTCAAATGTCACACCCAATGGTCTGGGCTCGTACACCAAGGTCCCTCTAATGATTACACCATGAGCCAACTTTTAATGAGCTGGAATCTATTTCTTTTTCGGACTTGAGGAGGTTCGATCGATCGAACTGTATTGAGATTGATCGGACTTGGCTGAGATCCATCGATGTATTAGAGATCGATCATCCTTGGCTGCGCCTTTTTGAATAAAGACAAATCTCTGAGATATTTTGGGATATTTTTGGGAAGAAGACAAAAGTGGTAGATGGGTGGTAGGTGTGGATAAGATCGAATCATTTCGATCAATCTAGAAAATGTTGGATCGATCGAACTAATTGGATTCTTTTAGAGAAGGACAAAGGCTTGGATCCATCTTGAATTTTTTAGATTGATAAACTTTCGATCGATCGAAGAAATGCTGAGATCGATCGAACATGCTGAATTTCCACAGTTTGCTTCATTTAGCTTCCACTTTGCTCATTTCTTCCATTCAGCTTGAGTTAACTTCTTTAATGCTCTTATTTGGCTGAATTGACTTATTTTTGGGATAAGCTCCTAAAAAGGGCAATAACACGAAATTAGAATAAAACGGGGAAATAAGATAGATAAAGGTCCTAGAATACTCAAGCTTAAGGAGTTTAAATGCGCACTTTTCAGCGCTCATCACACCCCCAAACTTAAATATTGCTAGTCCCTAATAATGAACTACAAAGTAAAGGAATGAAATGAACAACTATACAACTATGAGCTAGAAAACAATAAATAGATAACGCCACTTTCGTAGGGAACACAATTGCATTTAGCATATGCAACAAGTCTTTTAAACCCCTAGGTTACCCCTAGTGGGCGAGTGAAGTCTCGTGAGGGTTTCCAGAAATGATACCCACAAACATTAAGCTCATTCTTTCGAAAGAGGCACCAATATTGCAAACAAGCATTGGGAGAAAACTACCTCAAGTATACAATTTTTTAACCATTTCCAAGCAATCTTCCAAAATCTCAACATCAAACAAGCAAGTATGGTCCTCCACACATCAAGAAAATGATCATGCAAATCAAAACAACTCTAGAATTCTTTTTGAGTGGACCGGCATCAAATATGTTGCTATCTAAGCCAACTAAAGAAATGATCACATCCTTACTCTCAAACTAGCACACAAATCTAGTACCGATCATCAAGACAGAGAGTGAACCTTTTATTAAAGCTTTATTGATCTAGGTGCGCTTATTCTTTTCACTCGAAATTTTTTTTTTTTTTTAATCATAAAGATCAAAGATGGAAGCATGGTGCAATGTGTTGATCTATTACGCTTTCTAGCGATCCATGAGATCGAGCGTTAGGTCAATGACTCCCAAATCGGATGGCTTTAGGCACTAGGTGTTCAAACACCCCTAAGGACTTACAAGCTCAAATCAACTAGGCTACAAATCAAAACAAGCTCCATCGAATCATTTCCCACTTCTCACCTTTTGGGAGAAGTCCTCACTTTTTGGTACTTTTGTAACCTTTTTTTTTTTTTTCAGTAGAATTATTAACCTAGAGTTTGGACCCTCCACCTTTCGGCGTGAGAAATTCAGTGCTTGATGAGGCTATAATCCCAAATACTCAATGAAAAGGGTTTGTTATCCACTTTTGTCAAAATGAAAGCTTTCAATGCACTACTAGCCCAATTGGGATATAACCAATTCAATAATCAACAAAGCATGTACCCCACAAATGAATGCTAGTGTGTGCCTGTGCTAATGTAGAATACTAAAGTGAATCTCAAAACAATCACAAAATCAGGATGATATGGACCACAAATGCAAGCATGATATCAATCTTTCGAAAAAATTTACGCCTAAATGGCATCCACAAGGCATACAAGGAGTATTAGACTCTCAAGTCAAGTAATTTTTAAACTCTAAGCAATATAGTCTTCAAAAGATCAAAATCATAGCTATTGATGGACCAACCATAGCAAATCCCTCAAATACACAAGTCATGCTCAAAATTTTGAATTGAAAGCAAATACTGTAACAATACCCATTACCCCCAAACTTAAATGGCATAGTGTCCTCAATGTGCAAAGAGAATAAACGAAAGAATATACGAGTGCAGCTATGGCAAGGAATAGCATGGACAAAAGTATCCAAAGTGGGTGGTATAACCCCCCCAAACTTAAGATTAACTATAGTCCTAAAAAGATGGCACTGGAAGAAAAGCTGATCAGATAACAAAGGGAACAATAATGGTGCACAGTGAACATGCAAGTGTAAATGGGATAATAAATGAACTAATGAGAGTGGAAAATGATGGTCCTGAAAAATTTCGAGCAGCACTCACTCGCTGAAGTTACTGGGATACACCTGATAGAGTCAATCACAGACTGATGTATCAATACAAAGATATGACGTTCAAAATATAATGCATAAAATAAGAAAATAAAGCAGTGTATAGTACATCGCAGAAATAGGGCCAACAGACTGGCCGTAAAAATATCAAACAATATCAAAAGAGCAGTAATGTATCACAGATATAATGGAATAATGAAAGAGAGGAATAGAGATCAGGCGGATGAGGTAGGGCAAGTGGGGCGTGATCCCCTAATAACTCTGGATATGCCCTGCAGCGCAGCTAAGACATCTGCATGGAGTACAGAAATATCTGCTCTGAGGGAGACCACATCGGACTGAAGATGTAACGCCCCGAAGTTTTTTTTAAATAAAATCCTCGATTTCATTAAATCAAAATACTTCATAAAAGACACCCAGGATCTCAAAAGAAATAAAATACCCATTTATTAATACAAAATCAATCAAATTTCCTCAAATAAATAAGACAACATCTCAAATTAATTAAATTGATACTAAATCAATTTCCTCAAATAAATGCATAAAAATCTCTAAATAAATTAATTAATTCCTCAACACCAACTCTTCCACCTAAGCCCGCAGCTAAAAATCCTTAAGCATCCTCGATACCTGAAACTGTAGGGAGTGAGACAGTAGGAAAAAACATAACAAGGATTTTAAAAAGATTCATGCAAAATTAATTTCACAAAATATACATATACATTTAAACAAAAATATGTACATGCAATTTTAACAAAATAACAATCAATAAAATATTTAAAACAAATCATTCAAGCCATTCAAGGTACGATGATACCTACACTGTAAAATGAATAAATCAACACTGGGTCATCAACATCACTGCTCCCAGCCCCCTCTGAAACTCTCTGTGAATGTTTCCTTTATTTCTCTCTTCTGTGTCATCACCAAAAGGCACAATATATATAGACAATTGTACCGACACTTCACAAATATCAATTCAAAGTGAAATGAATCAATTCAATAGCTTAGGGGACATCAAACTTTAGTGGACCCCGCCACCACTGCTTACTTTATCTTTCTCCTCCTTATCCTTTCATTCATCCTCATCATATCTTTCATCAGACAATACAACTCACTCACTCAAAATACAACAGATATAGCCCATGCGAACAGACCAAGTTCAAAGAGCCTTTGGCAAAATAATTCTTTGTGGGCCCCACGGGAAAGAAAACATCATCACAAATTTTCTTCTCTCTAAATCGGTTCCTGTTCTACTCATCCAACCAATGTATATATATGTGTATCATATGCATCACATACACATGCAACGAAAAAATCAAATTTCAACCCATCAATATCTATATCAGGTGGGACCCGCAATTGCCTTTTCTTTTTTTTTTTTTCTTTTTTTTTTTTACTTTCGGCCGCCACCTGCTCTTCCCATCTGTATCTTCATTTTTCCATTACACAGCACTCTTATCTCTCTTTCTAGAATAACCATCAAGTGCAAAAAGCCAAAGTCAAAGAAAACTTTGCAAAACTAATATCATGGGTCGCACGGTCACCAATTCAATCTTCTTTTCCCTTTCTATCCCATTTCGGGTGGCACATCGATTCCATCCATTTTGTTTAGACAAGGCACTAAATATATATATATATATATATCATTATATATACAAAGGTGCTACAATACAACAAAACTAAAAACCCTTAATAAACAAGTGGGACCGCAAAAGTTAACTTTTAGAACTTCATTTTTCTTTCTTTCCTCCCATACTCGGCTGGTAGCTCTAATTTGCTACAAAAATATATCATATATATGCAAACTAAATCAATTTAAGTAGGACCCGCAACCAACATTTTTTTCTCTTCTAATTTTTCCACTACTGGCTCCTTGTTTCGGCAGGTGCACTCTTCAACAAATACATTAAAGATTCATGTATATATATATATATATATATACAATGCAACCACCACTTTCCAAAATCAAAACCCATTTCTTCTCTCTCAAATCCCACCATGGCTGGAAGCTCCTTCTATCTTAGCACACTATAAAAAAAAAATATTTAATATAAAACAATTTAAATCAAACCCATAAAATCTCAATTGTGTAAATCACTAATTTAAATATCGTAATCCAATCTTCAATTGATAAGTCTCCAATTAAAATAAAATAGTTAATTTTTTTGTCAATAAAAAATCAAGAGATAAATATAATTTAAAATCTTAAAAAAAATCCGGGTTGTCACATTCTCCACCACTTAAAAGAATTTCATCCTGAAATTCAGATCTAACAATTTTCGCATATTCGAAAACATCAAAAGTAGCAAAACAACATTCAAAAATCCTTACCCCAGGCGATGTGAAATTCAGTGACATGAAAAATATTGTGGTAGCTGACAGTGCTAATTACCCGCCCACACACTCCGTAACCGTTGTTGTAACTAGACGATGCCGTCACCCGCCCAAAAAATAAAACCGATAGTGATCTAGGGACACCTTCCCCTAATCACCGAAAGTAATCATTCTAGTAGCTGCCAGTGAACGACATCCGGACACACACACCCGGCTACGAGTGGTAACTAGTTAGAACTAAACACTAGCCCACTCACACCCGACAACATAATCACTAAACTCACACTTCCGGCTGGGTACAGGCTCTGATACCATTCTGTAACGCCCCGAATTTTTTTCTAAATAAAATCCTCGATTTCATTAAATCAAAATACTTCATAAAAAAACATCCAGAATCTCAAAAGAAATAAAATACTCATTTATTGATACAAAATCAATCAAATTTCCTCAAATAAATATAACAACATCTCAAATTAATTAAATTGGTACTATATCAATTTCCTCAAATAAATACATAAAAATCTCTAAATAAATAAATTAATTCCTCAACACCAACTCTTCCACCTAAGCCCGCAGCTAAAAATCCTCAAGCATCCTCGGTACTTGAAAATGTAAGAGGGTGAGACAGTAGGAAAAACCATAACAAGGATTTCAAGAAGTTTCATGCAAAATTAATTTCACAAAATATACATATACATTTAAACAAAAATACGTATATGCAATTTTAACAAAATAATAATCAATAAAATATTTAAAACACCCATTCAAAGTATGATGATCCCTACACTGTAAAATGAATAAATCAACACTGGGTCATCAACATCACTGCTCCCAGCCCCCCTCTGAAACTCTCGAATCTCTCTGTGAATGTTTCCTTTATTTCTCTCTCCTGTATCATCACCAAAAGGCACAATATATATAGACAATTGTACCGACACTTCACAAATATCAATTCAAAGTGAAATGAATCAATTCAATTGCTTACGAGACATCAAACTTTAGTGGACCCCACCACCACTGCTTACCTTATCTTTCTCCTCCTTATCCTTTTATTCATCCTCATCATATCTTTCATCAGACAATACAACTCACTCACTCAAAATACAACAGATATAGCCCATGCGAATAGACCAAGTTCAAAGAGCCTTTGGCAAAATAATTCTTTGTGGGCCCCACGGGAAAGAAAACATCATCACAAATTTTCTTCTCTCTAAATCGGCTCCTGTTCTACTCATCCAACCAATGTATATATATGCGTATCATATGTATCACATACACATGCAACCAAAAAATCAAATTTCAACCGATCAATATCTATATCAGGTGGGACCCGCAATTGCCCTTTCTTTTGTTTTTTTCTTTTTTTTTCTGACTTTCGGCCGCCACCTGCTCTTCTCATCTGTATCTTCATTTTTCCATTACACAGCACTCTTATCTCTCTTTCTAGAATAACCATAAAGTGCAAAAAGCCAAAGTCAAAGAAAACTTTGCAAAACTAATATCATGGGTCCCACGGTCACCAATTCAATCTTCTTTTTTCTTTTTATCCCATTTCGGTTGGCACATCCATTCCATCCATTTTGTTTAGACAAGGCACTAAATATATGTATATATCATTATATATACAAAGGTGCTATAATACAACAAAACTAAAAACCCTTAATAAACAAGTGGGACCCGCAAAAGTCAACTTTTAGAACTTCATTTTTCTTTCTTTCCTCCCATACTCGGCTGGTAGCTCTAATTTGCTACAAAAATATATCATATATATGCAAACTAAATCAATTTAAGTAGGACCCACAACCAACATTTCTTTCTATTCTAATTTTTCCACTACTGGCTCCTTGTTTCGGCAGGTGCACTCTTCAACAGATGCATTACAGACACATGTGTATATATATATATATATATATATATATATATATATATATATATATATACAATGGAACCACCACTTTCCAAAATCAAAACCCATTTTTTCTCTCTCAAATCCCACCATGGCTTTAATCTCCTTCTATCTTAGCACACTATAAAAAAAATATTTAATATGAAACAATTTAAATCAAACCCATAAAATCTCAATTGGGTAAATCACTAATTTAAATATCGTAATCCAATCTCTAATTGATAAGTCTCCAATTAAAATAAAATAGTTAATTTTTTTGTCAATCAAAAATCAGGAGATAAATATAATTTAAAATCTTAAAAAAAATCGAGGTTGTCACAGAAGAGAGACAACGACGTCCTCCAAAATCTGTATACGGTCTCCTAGGCCAGGTGTCTGTGTTGAAACATCAGGTATGACTGGGTTAAGAGAATGATGCTCATCCTGACGAGGCTATGGGACATGTAGTGGCGACCCTGCCGAAGAATGATACGGTAACTCCTCTACTTGAGGCTCCTGCTCCAGATCGATCTCCATATGTATTGCAGCCTCTGGTGCGACTATTGGATCATCTGCTACTGGCTCTACTGCTGTCGCCTCCTCCTCAGCTGCCTCATCTATAGCTATGATGGCATCCTTCTACAGGCTCTTGATAAGAGCCTTATAGCTCTTATCCCAATCCTTCTTGCGGAAATGGCAGGCTCCAGACTCAGTATAATCTTGTTACTAGAAGGGATACTGTTGGTCCTGCAGGATCTGAGTAATAAGGTGGCCGAAGGGGAGGAACTTAGCTCGCTTGGGCTTAGCCTTGCTGATATAGTTCGTGTAGAGCTTCATCATGACGCTTCAATAAAGGGCCAGAATAAAAAGCCAGTGCCCTGTGTAGAAAGCATACAGGGTAGTCAAATAGTCGCCTCGCCTCTGAACTTGTGGCCGGCCATAAACACATTTTGGTACAAGACCGAATCGAAGAACCACAGATCATCTGGCAAATAGGTCCGAGTAGAAAATGTCTTACCCTCACTGTAGTGGTCTGTAAGTGCCACAGCCATGTCTGCATAAAAAAACCTCCTCATAATGGGATAGTCCAGCTCAAGATCAAGAGGGCAAGCATGTGGGCATCAACACTATCTAGCCAGAGTCTCTACTATGATTCGGATAGGATAGCCATAAATAGTAGTGCGCAGCTCCGCTAGATTTCTCGGGGCAGGCCGGAGGTTCTGGAAGAACATCTGAATAAGCCTTGGGTAAACTGGGTTTGTGATAGGGGCTAGAATAGCAGAAATACCCCTGCGGTCTATATCATCATATGCAGCCCGGGTCAGGACAGATCGAGAAAAGAAGTTAATGTCGAACACTGACTCATGAGCCACTGAAAGGTCTGAATATCTCCGAGTAGGTTATCTAAGAACTAGCCTAGCTGTACAAGTGGCAGTGAAGAAGATGGAACATGCTCAGCCTCATCATGAAATGATGACGATAATGCAGAAGCAAAGAGTGTAGTCTGTTGTCTGATGAGGACTGGGCTGGATCTGCCTCTAACTGCTCTAACTGCTCAGCCTCATCAACCTACTCTGGAGCTGGATCTGGAATGGGGTCTGAAACATGAGATGGTCCTGCCTGCTCCTCTACTCTCTGCCTCACTTGGCGTGGACAATGCCTACGGGCAACAGTTTTTACCCTAGCCATGGTCTGTAAAACAGAAAGAAAAACACTTGCAAAATAAGTTAGTACCGGTATAAAGAATTGAAGCACAATATATAGAAACATGTTTGTCAAATAAGATGGACAACACAGTATAAAGGACATGAATCTAAACAAGTCGTAAGGAATAAGTGACATTAAGTGAAGCATGCTAAACAATATAAGTATGGAATGCATCCAATGTAGAAAACATAGACATTGGATATGTATAAGATAGCATGGAATCACAAAAGAGGGTGTGTGAAGTGTGGGGTTCGATCGATCACAAAAAATGTGAGATTGATCTCTCTTAGATCCATTTGAGAAAAGTTCGATCGATCGAACTGTAACGTTAATGTAATGACCCGGTCGTTTTCCTTCTTTTCATTTTTCAGAATTTTTTTTTTCGTCTTTTTCCCTATTTCGTCCTTTAGTCATTTTTCATTTTTCCTTGCATAACCTCACTTTTTGCACTCGGATTTGATTCCGGCTTTGCATACATCCATGATATTTAATTTCTACAATATCTACATTTTTACTTTTGTAGAAAATCATGTTAAATGTTTACTTTTCTTGTAAAGGGCATGGATGCATAACCTTTTGGTAATTTTCATAACTTGAGGGGGTTTTGTGTAATTAAATAAAGTAATTATTTTTCGTCTTAGGGATCTTTTTGTAATTTAATTTGGAAGATATTTTTAAAAAGGACCTTTTTGTAATTATTGGAAAATGTGACAAGTGTCACATTCTCATGGTGCCACTTGTTGGCATTGGGGTGGAATGACTTGGAAACATAATCTATTGACATTTAGAGGATGGAGATTCACTCACTTGTTGGCCTAGGATTGGAGCACTTGTTGGCATGGATGGTTGACAAGTGTAGGTTGGATATTTAATTTTGGAAGCTTACTTAGATTCATGACAAGTGTAGGCTTCACAATTGGTCTTGCATTAGTGTGTGTGTGAGAGGTAATGCAAAAGTACCTAGTGAGTGGAAAATCCCACCATTTTAACTTAGGGTTTTTACTTTCAATTCAATTATCTCTTTCCTCTCAAGAACCTTAACTTATCCACCATTGGAGCAAAGCTTGACTGAGAGCTTTGACTTCATTTTTGATACCCTTCCACTCACCTTAGACCATTAAGCTTAGAATACAAAAGCCTTGCCTCATCTTTCTCTTTATAACCCTAGAAAGAAAACTTGAAATTCTTTTGTTTCCCTTGGATTCAAGAAGAACAATCCTCTTGTGAGGTAGGGGTGGTTGTATGTTTATCCTCTTTGGGTTTTATATATATTGGAGCTTGATATATATTGATTACATGATTTTTAAATTCTTGTACTTGCATATAAATAGAGGTTTGATATGCTTGACTTAGGATTTGTAGATTTAAGCATGTACATGACTATTAAATTGTATAGGTAGATTATTGTTTAATGATTTGCCTAATACTTATGATTTCATTGAGGGTTATTATGAATATCTTGAAATTACACTTAAGTTGTTAAGTGATATAAATTTCATTGAAAGCTTAGTATGAAAATCTGGCACGTGGCACTTATAACTACTTGTAGGTAAATTACTATATTGCATGTTTTGCAATTGTAGCCTACATTGATAGTAAATTGATATAGCATGATGTATAGTATCATTAACTTGCCACTTTAGACATGTAACGTTAAGACATGGGTTATGTGGTTTTACCCTACTTGTGCTTGGTAGGTAGTTTCATGCATTGAGATTGCATAAATGTCATGAACTTGTTGATTTTTGGAAACTTGTAAGGATATGAAATGTTTGATGCCTAGAGTTTGGCTCTAGTACAGAGGGTAAAAATTCTCCTATGTCATAGTGCGCACTAGGTAGTACCTTGTGGGTTGTAATTACCCAAAATAACTTGTGTGGTCTCGTGACCACATATCCTAATCTTTCCATTATTTGATTTCGTATTACTTTCCAAGTTGTAAATCATGGATTTCTTATAGCTTGTGATTTTTAATCTTAGTTTTAATATGGTTAGTATACTTGTCTTGTATACTTGGATGCTACGTGTTTATTGTTTCAAAAATTTGTATAGCTTGAGATGATCCCTTAGAGTATCATGGAAACATAGACGTTAGGTGGAATGTACCCTTGTAATGATCTATGTTTGGTTTGCATTATACTTGAAACTATAGGGTACGCGCATGCACCACATCCTATGAGTAACTTGATTACTAACCCTAGTTGTTTGGGTTATTTTGTAGGTAAAAAAACTTTGTTTTGGGATGCATCACATCCTTAAGTTGCTTTAAAGTCTTGATGTACTTTGTTGTATTTTTGAAAACATGTAAGTGTTAGCATGTAGTATCATTTTGGTGTAAAATGCTATTTTCGTCTTGAAATATGTAATGTGTACCTAAGTACACTTTTTGATGCTTAAATAACATGTATGTATTGAGGCTAAGGGCTAAATATGTTTAATTTAGCACTTGTAGTCTTTTGGTACCATCTTTTGCTTTAAGAATGTATTTAAACAAACTTTGGAGGTTTAGCAGGTGAGATTCTTGTAAATGATGTGTATGAGGCCATGAGCCATTGTTCTATGTATAAATAATTCATATTAAGGTTGTTGGCATGTCCACACATCCATATCTCATTGAAAATCAGTTTTAAACATTCAATTTTGAACCAAATCATCATGGGACTCAATGCATAGGTTGAACCTTAACACCTTAGGCTTATAGCAGGCCTTACAGAAGCTTTTCGTGGTGTTTCGGTCGACCGATGGCCTCAATTCAGTCGACCAAAATAGCATACATTCTCACAGTCATGTTTCAGCACTGAAGTTCCAACTTCAAACGATCATAACTTCTTCGTTTCTACCCCAAATGGGGTGATTCTTGAGCCTAAAATCAAGGATTTTGAGTCAGATTTCCAATGGTACCAATTCCATTCTCAGATTCAAATCACAGTGGGATTTATTAATATTTTAGTGGGACAGTGTCAGTTTTCGCTTAAACCAGGAAAGGGCATTTTGTGAGATTCTTGGCCAATGTTCTTAGAACCTCTTGGAATGTTGTGAAATGATTAGATTCGGTTGTATTCACCTTGTTTGACTTGTTTAGAGTTAATTCTCCCCTTTTTAATTGTGAATTGACTATTTTGCCCTTAATTAACAAATTTAGCTCGTTTTAACACTAGTTTCCTCATTCGCTTTTCTTGAGTCCCGTGGCTTCATGGAATGTCACGTTGGTGTCTTAGAGATGATTTATGACTCAAAGGACTTTAGTTTTATCTTTTGCTTCCGCATTTTGA